AAAAAAAAAACAAAACAAAGTATCTTTAGAGTATGAGGGAAAATATCCTAAATGTTCAAAATGCAAACTATGAACAAAGTTCTCAACTAATTTAAACCCAAACACTTTTTGTAAAACATAAAAATACTTGGCCACTACTACCACAGAATACCTGACAACTGCCATTCAGGTCACTTCTGAGTCTTATTTACCTTCTAACTGGTAAAGAAAACACCCCTTAAAACTGGGTTAACTCTGCCTACTTTATAGTTTATCCCTCACAAATACAACGTTGAAGCTAAAGGTCAAACAAAAAGAATGCATACTGTATGACCATTTATATACATTTCAAAGGCAAACTAAGCTATTGTTTCAGAAGTTAGAATAATGGTTTCCTTTAGGGCTGTGTAAGGACATGACTGGGAAGAGGCAAGGGAAAGCTTCCCAGGCCACAGAAATCTCTTCTGGAGCCAAGTAGTGTTTAAACTAGTGAGTTCACTATTTGACACTTACGATGTGTGTCCTTTTCTCTAAATTTTTGTCTAGAAACTAAAAAATTTTTATGCCTGACATTTTTTTTTTAATTGGGTCTAACAACACCCATTCCCTGTTGCAAACAATTTTTTGTAATCTAACAAAAAAAAAATCAATTTCTACATTGCTTCATCTTATTGGCCTTGTTTTCTTACTACTTGTAAATCCTATTTCATTGAGAAAAAATCTAAATGTGGTTTCCTAATTTGCTGAATTTTTATGTGGAGAAACAGTAGTAAATCTAAGAAAGATATGCTTGTTTTGTCCTGAAAATGTTTCTGTTCAGATATACCAATGAAATTCTTCCACTTTCCTTTCTTAAAGGAAAATTTCAGTATACTAGAAAATGCTCTAATCACATTTTAACCTGAGGTTACCTCAGATGTGCAATGTGTACCTGCACAAACTGAATGTGGTCATCATCACTGCCAAACACCTCAGCCTGTCCATCTAGTAGGTTCCCATCAAGCAGCTTGTGATCAGCTGAGTAGTACAAGGTTTGAACCTGCAAAACAGCAACAGAACACCCATGTGGCTACCGTCTCCATGGCTACTCCACTAGTATGCAGATCACACAAACGCCTCAAGGTAACCTCCAGTGTGCTTCTTCAACTTCTTGACATCTTGCTCTGGCAGGATCCCGAAGTAAAGAAAATACATGTCATGGTTGTAAAAATTTTAAAAACAAAAATAAAATACAGAATCTTCTAACACTGGCCGAAGAGTCCTTGGCTTGATTGGCTTGAAAGAAATCTTCATTTTTCCATAGCTTCTATTATATAGCATTTTAAAAAAAAAAGGCACTAATACAATATATGGGCTCTTAAAGCATATACATATTTACAGTAAAATTTGGACTATGGTTTACACCTTTGAAGTGCTCTGATTTGCATTAACATATTTGTCCTGTAGGCAATGTCAAGAAAAACAGATAAAAAGCAAATGCAAAACTCAAAACAAGCTGTAGAGACACCTCCCTCAGCAGATGCAAACACATGGTCAATGCACCTGATTTTCAAGTGGGAAATGATATAAAATGTAAAAATCACCTGTTAGCCTTTTTAGAAGATAATGCTAACAGTATGTTTCAAGACCTAACAGATCTGGAATGCCTTTCGTGGAATGACAAATTCAAAGTCACTCCACTGCTCCATCTGCATGTGTTTAATTCCCACCATTTCTCCATCAAGTTTGTCTTGTGGTATTTTTCAAAAGTTAAGTGAATGTACGTATGAACAACACCATTGAAAAAACACAAAGCTTTAAAGATAAGAATCCTGTAAAGGAGTAAACACCATTAAATCATCATCGTTCTCTGCCCACAGCGGATTTTTCTTAGGAGAACTGGGGCAGGACTGCTGCTTCTTTACGTGTCAATACACTTGAGGTTTCTTCTTGTTTCTTCAGTCTTGGGTATCCTAGTTTTGTTAATAAACCTATGGGGAGATAAATCAATGGGGAGGAACAACCATTAGAAGCTTTTACCTACTTATCAAATTTAAAGCAAAAACCTGTGAAGAAAAATTAAGAATCTACAGAAAATTTCAGTACCACCTCCCATTTCTAAAGCAAATTACATGCTACTTTAAAGGAAGTTAACAGCACATAATAAGCAAAGAAATAAAAAAGAAAAGCAGAAGACCAAACTGAACAGTTCATTCAGCTCACCTGGACACCCCCCCTGTTTCTCAGCTTAGGGGTACCTATAGCAAAATTTAAATTCTTTAGGGTCATGGTTACAAAATAAAAGTGAAAGGGAATCCTTCATTGTTATAGCAAAATAATTTTTAAGAATTGTTGCATCCCATTTACTTTAAAACTAACCTCTTCCATCAGCTCTTCCAGACTGTCTCCATTCTCCCAGATGCTACGCTGCACCCAGTTGATTACCTTTGTATACAATTTGCCATTGCTGGGCAAGCAAACATTATCTTCAAGCATTACCTCCAACTAGAGTTAGGAAAAAACAATGACACTTAGATCAGTGTTGAGTCTCTTAATTCTCAGCTTAATGCGCAATTTCCTAATAAAATGGTCACAGATGCCCAATCTCATCCCATACATTTATTCTCATTTGTAAGAAAACTGTAAAAACAAACCAGTAGGCAGCAAACTGTTACAATGCTAAAAAATAACAGTATCATTTCAATGTACTTTCTCACAACCATGCTTGAAACATGGACAAAGATTCAGCAACTGTAAGTTAGTGTATACATACATATATATCTTTATAGATTTTACCCCTTACCTTTAGCCGTGGAAGTTTAAGAAACTCTTCCTCTTCTGAAATTTGTAACAGATGCTCCTGAATATAGGCATCAACTTTATTCAACAAACGGGTGTCTCCCATACAACTTGCAAAATTTCGGTAAGAGATGCAGCTGGTAACATCCATTCTAGATAGCAAATAATCACCACAAACCTGGGAAAAGAAATACACAAGTGACAACACTTACATATATTTTATTTAATGAATATTTAATACTCAATATGTAAGCATTCTGTGAAGATACAAAGATGAATCAAACACCACTGCCTTAACAGAACAACGTTAACTCTGGGAAGAATAGATGTATGCAAACAATAAACATCAAAGAATGCCGTACAAATGTCTAAGTTGTTTACGGAAAGATGCAACAAACTGAAATGCCATATTAACGCATATGCAATGTGCAGATAAGTATCTCCAATTAGAATAATTAGATAAGACTTTATCATGAAGACAGTATCTGAACTGGGATCTATACAAGAGATGATATTGAATGCAGATAGAAGTAGGGAAGAAGCTGGGACCAATTTAGTTTGGCTGGAGCAAAAGACAAGTAGGAAAACAATTTTGGAAACACAGCAACTACATTAGGGAAAATGTGCAATGCTAACTTGAGGGGTATGTGCTATAAACCACAGAAGGATTTTAAGCAAAGGAGTGACATTACAGAAGGGGCCAGGAAACTTCCTCTTAAAGGGCTTAGGCTTTTGGGCCATAATGTCTTTGTCACAACTACTAAACTCTGTCATTGCAGGTGGAAGCAGCCAGAGACCCTATGTAAATAAAAGCTGTGTTCCAATAAAACTTTATAACAAGCAGTTGGCCTGAGGCTTTGCAGTTTACTGACCCCCAAATTAGAGAATTAAATGCTTTTTATTCTATGAATTATTAGGCAGTTTTCAATGGTGCTACATTCTAGAAGGAGTACTTTTACAGAGGAACTTCCAAGTGTAGAACAGTGAGCTGAGAATGTAAGCTGTGTGATTAATTCTTGAGAAAAACAAGAATATTTTAAATGTTTATTTTTTTGAGAGAGAAGGGGGGGTGGGGAGGGAGGGAGGGAGGGGGTGGGAGGAGGAGGAGGAGGGGGGAGAGGGAGAAAGAGGGAGAAAGAGGGAGAGAGAGGGAGAGAGAGGGAGAGAGAGGGAGAGAGAGAGGGAGAGAGGGAGAGAGGGAGAGAGGGAGAGAATTCCAAGCAGGCTCCAAGCCCAGTGCGGAGCATGACGGGGTGGAGCATGACAGGGGGTCTGATCTCACCGCGAGATCATGACCTGAGCTAAAATCAAGTCTGATGCTTAAATGAGCCACCCAGGCGCCCCAAGAATATTTTAAACCCTGCTACCAGTGACCAACACAGCCACCCAGCTAGTGAAGACTACTGGAAAGGCAAGAATTTAGCTCAAATTATCTGAGAGGAAGTTATGACCTTGCTACATTACTACAGCTAACTGGTTAAAATCACATTCAGTTGTCTAGGGGGAAGAGGGGCCATTTTCAAGTTCTTGAGACTAACAAATGTCTTATGACAAATTATGCATCTTAACTATGTAAAAGCAGACTTGCTAGTAACAGCCCTCCTTATATGTTACTTCTGGTACTCTACCTGCTTTACTCGGTCCATCTTCAGCTTTTTTGCTGCAGAATAAACATCTTTCACTAATTCCTTATCGGCTTTCAACCTGTTAAAGAAAAGTTATTTATCACTTGGATACCAAGGCCTTAAAACACAGATTCTACTTAATCCAAATAAATCAAGGCTTGGAATTTCCTGGTGACATCCCCTAATTATACACTTTATAAAGTACTTACTGAGCAGTGTAGGCATAATTCAGTAAGACTTCAACAGCTTCTGGATTGAGATCATCAAATTTAACATGAGAAATTCCATGAGGATCACTATCACTATTAAAGATTTCAAATAAGTAGGGACTGCAGCAAGCCAGAACTGCTCTGTGTGCTAACATCTCATGGCCACAGACCTGAAATTGTGAGGAATTACAATTAGAAGTACTGTGGACTATTTATTTCTCTAGCTAATTACCACATCAGGTCCTTTATCTAATATTTATAGGTAAATCATTGTTTTTTCAAGTTATTTCATCAAATGCCTACCATGAAAAAGAAAATAAGCATATCCAAGAACTTACTGCTTTTAGAAATAAAATATTAATTTTGTACGTTTCCAAATTAAGTTTTAAATACCTGGAGTCGAACATCACAGAACTGGCCACTTTTCCTCAGGGCATTTAATTTGGCAACAGAAGACTCAATAAAGTTTTCGTCTTCAAACATTAAATATCCATTGGGAATCATTTTTCCTTACAAATTTGGCTAAAGAGCACAAAAAAAGCCAAGTTATTTTACTAGTGAACAATGATTTTTATAATTATACCTTAAAGAGTAATACAGTATCTTTATTTTCAAATTCCATCCTATCAACAACACAAAAATTTTATTACACAAAAACACTGCTGAAAACACTGGCACTGAATGTCCAAGTCTTTGTACAGCTATATTTTGGTCCTCAGTCTTTTTAAGGATTCATACAGCAGTGACTATCTCAACACTTTTGCCCAGGTTTCCCTGAACATTCATTGGGAAGGGAAAGAAATGTAAACCCACCCTGCCCAAACCCATACAATGAGCAATTTAAGAAGCCTGGAAGGATGTAATGTGGTCATCACTTCTAGGTTTCCTTGATTTGGGTTGCTGTCATTCCTTTACTCCCAAATGAGAGAAATGGATAAATAGGCAAACTTAAATCTGTCCCCTCTGCAAGTTTCAGATATTCCAAATCACTTATCTCCTAGGAATACATGCTAGACACTTAATGTTCTTTTAAAAAATGTCCATTTCACCTTGTGAACTGACTAATGCCTATACAAAGCCATCATTAAAAAGCAGTAATAGATTTTAGTTTGCCCTGATTTAAATTCAAAAGTTTACAAAAAGAAAAAAATAGAATTTTTTTTTCTACAAATGATTACTGACTTCCCCTTTAAAAAAATTATGAAAAGGCTATTAGTGTACTGGCATAGTCTTCTGAAAAACAATGTGTCTTAATGTTTCATTGGGCACGAATATTCACTTACCTACTGAACTGGTGAGAAATGTATTTCTGAGATGTCTTAAATAATCCAAGGACAAAGGAGTGTTAAAACTTAGCACTTCCTCAAGGTATGAAGACGGGTGGTTGAAGTGAAGGCAGAGGTGTCTTAAGCTCTAATGGTGATTCCAAAACTATCAGGCTTGAAATGATGTAATCAAGTCCTTAAAAGCTATAGACATGAATTTCTTCTGTGATAATCATGCATCATAATCTGCAATAATGACAAATTTTAGATACTCAGAATGATCAAAGACTGTCATTGATCTAAGTGGATTATATCATACAAAGTCCTTATCTGAAAGAAATGTTGATGTACATGGCTCTAACACAGAAAATAACCAAGACAAATGCAATTATACCTAAACATTTTTCACTTAACCTGCAACTATTCAGGTGATCAAAAAACAAAACACCCTTCCCTGGAAGACAGAAGCTAACAACGTGTATCAATAAGTGAGATATGTAAGCACAAGATTAGAGAACAAATATAAATATTGGTTAAATCTAATATTCTTTACTATTAGATTCCTGTGCATTTTTACCGGCCAGCAAGCAACCTTTGGGCATCATTCCCAGACGTGTATACAATGTTCCAGTCAAACCAGATATACTATTTCCCAAAATGTGGTCTGCTCTTCCCAGTCTCTGTACCTTTGTTCAAGTTGTTCTCTGTTCTTGGAATACCCTTAACCCAACCTCTGCTAGATAAAATCTTACCTCCATAGAGCCCTTCCCAATCCCCCCAGTGGAGAGAAGTTTCTCCCTATCTTCCACATACTAAACCTTCTCTTGTGTCATCTTCCAGCTGATCTGCTCTGGTTTTGGCTTCTGTGGACCTCCTTATCTTCCTTGATTTAAGGTCCTGGAAGGCAGAGCCTCTGTCTTGCTCATCTTTGTATCCATCCCATCTCCCCACTACCAAAACTAGCCTAGAAACATAAATATAAAGATGAGCACTTTGTTGAAGTGAACTAAATAAACAAAAGGGAAAATACTGATATCTGTTCTCTATATGGCCCTTTTTCTCGTTTACAGTAATAAACTCTCACTGGAATAGTTCTGGTCCAAACCAAATCTGCAAAGTAATCATATTCAGTCCTCCTACCTCATTTTCAAGTCATCAACTACAAGTGTCAAATTCAGATGGTTCTTATTTTTTAATCACCTGAACTGCTATGTCACCACTGTCTAATTCAGGAAACTAGAACTAAGTAAATTATTTGAAAGACATGCATACTTTTTAAAACGGACATCTTAAAATTACCTGGATTTTCCTTATGCATCAATCATACACAGAATTCTAAATCTAACAATTGTATTTGGGTGAATGAGTAATCACTTAACCCAGAATCCACTGAAGGCTGGTCCAACTCTAAGTGAACAAACTGTCGTGTTAAGTTCAACACATGCACAATCTGTAATGGGTCTGACCCATATGTCCTAACTGGTTTCTCCATAACTTAGGTTCTATTTCAAAGAAACCTGAGTAATTCTGACTCAGGTTGGGATTGTTGTCAATGCTTACCCCTGCAATGAAACTGTATCATACCATTATGTAATATTGGTTTCCTCTGCTCTACAGTTGCACCTACATTAGTTTGTTCAGCTTTTAAGAAATCAGTTCTAATAAATGATTCCCAATTACCACACAATTCCATGTACACAGAGAAAACACACTATCCTAAGGAAACCTTCAAACATTTTCAGCCAAGACCCAGCTCAAATTAAGAAGATCTTTATATATATGGTATATACTGGGTAGCCAATCCACAGACATAGTTGGTAACTCCTCACTTCAGTTCCCTAAGTTGCCTTTTAAAAAGAAGGGGAAATGGGATGAGGAGGACAGAGGGAGCTTCCATGCAAATTATGGCAATATATTTAAAATGTGCTTTCTGAAAAACCATAAACATTGTGATACAGAGATTTAGAAACATTTTAAACGCTGACCAGTTTTATTCATTATTCAGTGTTTTTCTGTAAAGTAGTCTTGATCTAACCAAGAATAAAAATGGCATCTATTTATGTTTGATAATTTGGAAGCTCTACCTTAAATTTTGAGGGAAAACAAGACATGGTTAAAATCACTTCAGTCCACTGGGAGCAAACACTGGAGAACTTCTAGAGCAACTCTTGGCATACGCATTTGTACAGTATTATTAGTTCTGCAACAGAGTGAGTTCTACATTTAGTATTTGATGACCTTCTAGTATATCAAGATCTTAGTATGATCCTTATCTCTTTAATGATCAATACAACCCTACTTGATTTTAAGAGCTAGCCCAAGATCATGTGACATTTAAGTTAATGCAGCAAACTTATTTTACTCAATTACTGTCCTCACATACTGTAGGCCCCTACTCTCACCTACCCCTAAGCTGGAGGAGGTCTTATCAACTCCTGCCTACAAACCATGTCTTTGAGTGTTCACATTCACTCTCACTAAAGTAAGCATTGGGCAAACTGAGTTTCAAACTATTCTAAAAATGTACAGAAGATCTCAGTTTGGTCTATGAAACTCAAGCTCAGTAACTGGTGGAATAAAAATGTGAGCAGATTTTTTTTCTTTAAAAAGCCTAACCAAAAGCCCCACCATCCTAGAGTTATATAAAAGAATAAAACTTAAAATCTTCTTTGGTATTTAAAGAATACGAAAATACTAATTCAAAGGAATATATGAACCCCTATGTTTATTGCAGCATTATTTACAACAGCCAAACTACAGAAGCAGCCTAAGTGTCCACTGATAGACGAATGGATAAAGAGGATGTGGGGTACACGTAAACACATACACATACTCACAAAATGGGGTATTACTCAGCCATAAAAAAGAATGAAATCTTAACATTTGCAACAACATGGACAGATCTAGAGAGTATAATGCTAACCAAAATACACCAGAGAAAGACAAATACATGATTTCACTCATATGTGGAATTTAAAAAACAAATGAAGAAAAAAAAAAAAGAGAGACAAACCAAAAAATAGACTCTTAACTATAGAGAACAAACAGATGGTTACCAGAGAGAAGGTGGGTACAGGTGAAAAAGTGAAGCGGATTAAGGGTACACTTATCTTAATAGCACTGAGCAAAATATGGATCTACTGAATCACTATATTGCACACCTGAAACTAACACAACTACACTGGAATTAAAATTAAAAAATTTTTTCTTTGGTATTTAAAATATACATTCCATTAATCCACTTTTAAAATTAAAACTGGGTCAAATACAATACATTCTGGTAAATACACTTCAGTTCCTTAGTATGGCCAGTGCAAGAAAAGGGAAACAGAAGACTCATAAATGAGTAATTAAACTGCTTTAGTAACCACCAGAAGCCCACATGTTATGTTACCACAGACCCCCAAAAGATTAACTTAACTGAAATACAGTTCAACAGGTCTTATCCAAGAGTTGTAAGAAAGGTAGGCACAATGTGGCCTCCCCTCCAAATTCTTTTCGGGCCTTCAGTAAGTGGAAGATAAAATGTTATCACCAAACTTCCAAAGCATCCTTAAAAGCTCAAGGAAAATTACAAATATTTAAGTTTCAAGGCAATGTTTTGAGGGCAGCCCACTCACAAAATAAACTCTATTTTTAAAGGACAGACTTTATAATAATACAAAGTAAATCTCTGTAAGACCAGAAGTTACAAATTCCCAGTGTCACCTCTGAAACTACTGTCACCATCATCTATATCAAAACTCACCAAACTCACTCACTTGCTCCATCCTCATTGTTCTGAACTCTTATACATCCCACAAACATTTATGGCACCAAACATATGGCAGGCACAATATGGAATGGGATGCTCATAATACCAATGGAGTTAACGCCATTCTTCAGCCCTGAATACTTCACAGACCAACCAAAAAAGACAGGTAAATCAAGCAGTGAAAATAGCTCAAACAAAAGAGGAAAGGGGTATGACAGCATACGTATTCCAGAAACTGCAGCTATTAGCATGCATATGGTAAACAGAGCGAGAGGAAGAAAGAAAGATCAATGCTAAGGGTTAAACGATGCTGGAGAATAGAAAAGGATTATAGCAAGAACATTCTAGCAGAAATGTGGGGGATGTTCTGGAGGAACAGGTAAAATACGGAAGCAGGGACATTAAGATATTATATACCCCTGCTTATCCTAAGGCAGTAAGGATATTTTAGCTTGGATATGTGTGGTATCCTTATCAAAATTAGT